CCTGTATTCAGGCTGTTGACAGTCCCTTCATCACACACTGAGAACACAAAGGCAGATTTAAAAGAAAATTAACTGGAGGAGTAAAGAATTAAAATCAATTAAGAGAAGGAGGGACTGATATATTCTCATTGTAAATTTAATTACCCCTTAGTCAAAAACTGGACAAATTACAAAGCCAATACATAACAGAAGTGCCATAAAAATTATGTATTCAGCAGGTCTGCATTTGCATATTCTGTGTTCCCCAAATATCTTACTGATTCTGTGGAAATGGAGAATATTCCAAATACATGAAGTCAAGTTCCATATCGTGATTTAAATGACAGGCTTGGAATGCCACAAGAAGTACTCTAGATCACTGTCTGGAAGGCAGAGGTTAGAAACTGAAAGAACTGGAAGTCATTAACTGAAAAGACCCAAGTACTTGAAATCCTGTTCATTCTAGCAGCTCTCAGAAACATTGCACCCTTGTACCCTGAGTGGAGATTACTGAAATTTGGGTATTTGGGATGTGGAATGTCTTGGCTGAGCTTCTCAGTGTAACACATAAAGTTGAAACTCTAGCACATTTGGACAAATATAATTTAAAAATACTCATACCAAGATACCAATATGCAAATTGAGGTGATGAAATCACAATTTGTGTGCCTACAAATTGTGGGAACAAAAATTTAAGCATGACTATTCTGAGAAAAAAGGTATTTAAGAACAGAGTTCTACTCTCAAAAAGCCACTGAGATTTTTTTCAAGATTACACTGAGAGACTGAACTGCACCTGAATCCTTCAGAAAATGCCTAAAAACATAAGGCAGACAGAGACTAGGATAACTTCCTTTAAGCCCTTTTCAAGGGCTGTGCATGACAGAGGAGCCCCAGAAGCTGATACTGAGTTGCAGGGGTTTGAAACTCTCTACACTTTTATATTCCAGGAGGGTGTGGAGAAGTTTTTCACAGGGAAACCCTCTATGGAATCATTACAAGATTTTCTCTAGCAAGCCTCTGGCATGGATTTTCTTATGAAACACCACATCATAGTGCAAAGAGTATCAAATTACTCACAACTATTCTGGACATATTTTTTCATAAAAAACGTGACTGCTGAATCCATTTGGAAGAAAATCTGATCTAAGTGTATATAGCTTTGTTTGTAATTCAACACTATGAAGAGTACCCTAACAAATTATGAGTATTTTGCAACTGATGTAGTAACTATTTCTGCATTTTCAGTTAAGAGTAACCATTTCTCTGTTTTGAATTAGGAAATCTGCATAACATTAAAATAAATTACTCAAGTGCCATTTTAAATCAAAATTAAGTAGGTCACTTTGAAGTCAGCTTTGATGGGTAGTTTTGTTGGTGGTTTTGGTCTTCTTTTTCAAATGAAAGCATGAGTCTGTTCCCTCAGCACCACTTAATCACTAGTAACTTTTATGAAGAGCAAACAAAAGGCCTCTTCTATTTATCCATTATGTCCCTAAGAGGTGAGAACAGCTTGATGCAAATGAAAATCATTAAAGCATTCTGCACTACCATTAACTGTCTGAATATGTGTCTATGCAAATGCAGCACATTACCCAGTGAAACTGCAGCCTCATGACCTTTTGCATTGAAAATCTATGCCTTATGACTCTCTTAGCAGCTGAAATGCTTTCTATGATGTGTCTTTGTGTAAGTGTTTGGTTTGGACAGGTACAGTAATGGAGAGCAAGCCATTTCACAGGAACATATTCAGTTTCAGATACCCTTTCACCCTGTCTGGGGAAGGGATAACATCAGAGATATCCAATTTGCAGCAGTGCTATGGTACAAATAATAAGCCAAAATGTGATTGCCCAGATCCAATCCTGCATGCATTTACATCCATAACTACACTCAAATAAGTAGTTCCATTTAAGACACAATCAACATACAATAATGCAAACCTGTGACTGGTTTGTAGGATTAGAGGCCTAATTAGATATTAAACCTACTGATCTAATTCTTTAGAACTCTGTCCTTCTTGCAGCCATCCCAAATGCTGTGCAGAACCTGGCTATTCCCACTTGGTGCCATGGTGCCTGCCTGACAAGGTGGGTGAATGTATGGAACTTAGAGAGTCTAGTCCTCCAACAGCAGTACCTGCTGACAGCAATGCACCACAACTCCTGTCTTCTTAAAAGCCTGAACCACAGACAGATTTACAGTAGCCAGACAACAGGTCACAGGACATTTATTGCTGTTTAGTGTGTCCTTGGCAAAATTTAGGTCAGTCTTCAGGCACAAATTTGTACCCACCGCATGAGCTTTTCTTGAAGTAAGTCTTTGGCTTAGGCTATCTCCCCCTCCTTTGGGACATTTCCCTTTGTTGCATGCTTTTATGTAGCAGCAGAGTGGTTAGGACAGTGCATTATACAACAGCAGCTGAACAGGCAACAGCAGACCAGATTCTAGGCTTTCCATTTGAAGGACACCAAGCCAACCTCTCCTGTCTCACAGTCCTGGCACACTCTAAGGAGAATCCTTCAATCAGCAGGTAGTTCCATCTAAAGCATCTCTTACCTCCAGTTTGGGATTTTGCCAATCATTGCTGATGACTGGAAGACTTAGAGGACAAAAAGAATAAGGAAATTTTAATTTCCTAGGCCTGCTTGTTGTATGTTTTTTTCATTGGACAATAAATAGATACCTTACATACACAGTGCTAAATGCATGGATGAAGGACCTTTAGGCAGGGGCCCTTATTACTCATTTGTTTGGATGTTATGAAAAGCTATTAATGCATTTCAAGGCCAGGCTGGATGGGTGTTTGAGCATGCTGGTCTAGGGGAAGGTGTCCCTGCCCTTGGCTGAGGGTTTGGAACTAGATGATGTCTGCGGTCCCTTCCGAGCCAAACCATTCTGTGGCTCTGTTTGAAGCACATGGAAAAGAAATCAATGAAACTGAATAACCCTAAAGGTCTTTTTCTGAATTCGGCAAATTGGCACATTTTAAAAATCTGATTTAGTAAAATGATCCCCAGGAACAAACCTGAATATCAGCCTGCTTGTCACCTGGCCAGCATGCTGGGGGCAGTTTGGGACCATAAGAGCAAGAGCCATCCAAAGCAGCATTCCCACAGTGGTCAGGGGCAGCAGTGGAAGGCAGGGTGATGCAGTGGTTTCAGCAGCCCTTTTCATTTCCCACTATAGCTGCAATATACGGCAAGTAACATTAAAAGGGATCCAAAGGAGTGAATTCAAATCCAAATTGTGAATTCTACTCTAATGCTACAGTTCATACCAAATAATCTGGAATTTTTAAACCTTGGAAGTAGTAGTGTTATAATTTTATAAATGATTAAATTAAAATAAGCTTAAAAAGTTTCAGGTTCTTAGGAACGTATATATTATGCTAACAACAACAGAGTATTTACTGAAAAGTTGTGCCTATAACAGGTTCATTCATTCATTTTCTGTCAGAACACAAGAAATAAAGCTGTTTATGTTTCCAGGTAATGCACTTTATCCCACTGGCAACTACTGCTGTATTTTCTCTTTATCTGAGTGAAATTTACTTCTAAACAGAACTATTTAATTTTAAAAATGCTAATACTTTCAATTTGTGATAAAAGATTAAAGTTACTCATGAGAAGATAGCAAAACATGGATGCTGTAGATTCCTTTGTTTAAAAGAAGTAATTTCTGAAGTACTTAAAAAAAAAGCATTTCTGTGCCAGTAAAAAAAAGAAGATATTAGGGAACTGACCAGTAACCTTGGCTGGAGCAGGAGAGGGGAAACTCAGATTAGTGGTACTGAAAGCTTGATCACAAAAAATAGTGGCAGCTAAAACATGTGGTCTTTAAACATGTTTGGTTTTTTTTCCTCCAACAGCAACTAAGAAAAGGTGGACGTTTTTCATAAGAAATCCAATTTCCTCTTTAAACAAATAGATATTAAAAAAATCTTAGAATGCTTAAAAAAGCTTATTCATTACAGCACAAAAATGCAGTCTAATTTTTAATGTCTACCTAAAGATCTACCCAGAATAACCACCATAGCTGCTATCTTTAGACAATGATCAAGACAAAAAATAAAAATCAGGGTATGGATAAAAGGTATTGTTTAATGAAAGACATACCCATTTTCCTCAAAGCACAAGAGACCTTGGCACTGACAGTTCTTGTTTGAAACGTCCTGCCCTAATGACTTATTTCAGACTGTTGCTACAGCTTTGCAGACATGCCTGCAACTACATCTGATTTACTGATTATCTTTTGTTTCCTTTTAAAGGTAAAGAATGTCTCTAAAGCTGAGCTGAAGAATGTGACCACTTCTTAGAAGGTTCTCTTCCCTCTCTGAACAATGTGAGATTCTTAAAAGTTATTTTTATGGCATAATCATTTCCTATTTCCCCCTGTGCATTAGTAATTTCACTCACTTTTTTTTTCTTTCAAAAAACCACTGTCCTAAGGCAAACACATCAGTTAATTATTAGAGATTAAAAATGAAACAGGTCAAAAGCCTCAGTCCTGTCCTCAGAAAAACAGGACAAAATACTGTCTCCACAAAATAGCTTACAAAGTAGCACAGGGAAAGGAAGGTGGAGGTAGAGTGTGTGAAGAAGCTGGAATATGAAATAGTACTTGATACTTCACAGATTTTGGGGGCAGTGTTGTTTCATCTTATTAGCCAAGTCATCAAGTTCCTGCTTTTGGACAAAAACAAGTGTCACTGATTTTCTAAGTAAAACAGCTGCAAGATTATTCAAGAACAGCAGGAAACATGCACCATATTTTAACAGAATCCAGTCCCAGTCACTTAACTGCACAGCTCCCAGAGAGAACATGGCCCATTTCTGCGCACGACTATGTGTGTTTATAAAGAGCATACATGATTTTCCTCCCCAAAATCTGGAAACAGAATCACAGTGTCTTGCCTTTCAATCTGCCCTATCTTCAGTTAGTACATGGCACTTTATAAATCCATTTTGCATTTCCAGTGGTACCTCCCTCATGCTTTAAGACATAAAATGATCAATACATTGGTATGAAAATTAATTTTATTTGCAAAATTCAAATTGTCGAGGTAGATCTGTGTGCTGATGGGGTCTGCACACTGTCATAGTAGTAACAGTATCTCAATATTAAAATAACATAATAATATGTTACTTATAGTGCAAGTTCTGAGGAAAAAAGAACACTAGCAAAAAGCATTCAGTAAATGAACATTTTTGGAAATAGGCTTCAGTAGCCACAAAATTAGCTTTTTTAAACATCTAGATAAGAGCCTTACCTCTGAAATTGCATTAAACTTAATTTCAGATGAAGCAAGCCTGAAAATATTAGCCTTAAAGGACAGCAGAATGCTAGGCAATATTTACCTTACATAAAACAAACACCTCCACTTTCCCCAAAAGCCAGAACAAAATACAGGGTCCAAAGAACTCTTTAGATAGTACATAACTCAATTTTTGGAAAGCATATGGTACTCCAATGAGACTTCAAAAATCTCTTAGGATGTGCTGCATAGGTTACAATGCAGAATGGCAGGTCCAAAGGACTGTGTAAAAATTCTGTAGCTTAAAGTAAACAGTGACTATTACAGGGCTCAAGATAAAACTGGAATATAGGAAAATAAGTAATTTATCTATACCTGTGGAGCCACAGGAACCATTGTGAGGCCTTGTTTTATTTGACAGCTTCATTAATCCCCAAGAGGCTACAATGTGGACAACTCTGAAGACACTGAGATACTTCAACATAAATTAGTGAGGCTAAAATGCAGCCAGAAAAATATAAAATTAGATTAAATACAAGAAAAATCAAGCTACTGCTATGCAAAACACCGAGAGAAATATTCTAGAACAGATTCTGGAATATATTCAATGGGATGGCAATACCCCAGAGGCATCATATTTGTAAAGGATCTAAGGATAACAAGCAAGTAGAAACTACAAATAGTTTTGTAAGAGTACCAACAAAGAGACTAAGTGAGATTTGGGTTGCATACTTGGAAGCAGTGTGTCCTGGAGCAGGAAGGTACTGGTCTCTCTAAACGGCTGCAGGCAGGCAGTGCAACACTTTATTTGTGGGCAGCCAACAGAGTCCTTCAAACCTCATGGCAGACCAAACATCAATACTCCCAAGTAATTAATGCTGCCTACAAATGGAGGTCATGCAGTTGCCTGGACATAAAACACAAATGCTTCATCCACACTCTTTACAGCCACTGTGGAAATCACAAATGTGTTCTAGGCATATTACAAGAAAGATCTATGCAAATTGGATGGAATTCACATAAATATAACAGAAATTCTTTGGGAGCTGGAAAGAATCAAAAGGAAATACTACAAGCCTAAACAAACGTTACTTTAGCTTAAGCTAAACAAGTAAAAAGTTAAAAATGCTTTTTTGTTAACATCCAGTTTGATCAGGAAAATTATTTCAAAGGAACAAACCCCAGGAAGGAAAAATAATTATTTGAGGGCAATAAAAGGTTATATATACATACTTATTTGGTAACTCAGAGAAAGCATATACTGAGTTCTAAACTAGAGGTAATTGTCCTAAGAGAAGAAAATATAGCAGGCATCTGAAACTTCAGTATAATGTATACACTTGGATATGACAGAGACAACAGAGATGGACAAAATATTTAATGGAGCTCTGCCATCTCTAAGCTAATCTTAAAACATTTCAGGTTTACTCTGATAGCAACACTCCTCTTTCCTTTTGAATAACAGATGGCTGTTTGTGAGCTACATATTGCGCTGGGGCTTCTTTCACTTTGTCTGATGCATGAACAAGGAATGCCTCCCATAAGTCAGACTACATGGCAGAAAAAAACGCAGCATCTAAAATTAAATGGCTTTCACTCCTTACCATCCAGCCCCATTTCTGTGATTCATTCACAGAAACCCATTTCCCATTTTAAAATAACAAAAATTCAAATAATAACCACATACTCATGTGTATTTGGCTACACAAGTTATAGAAGAATGATAGGGCTTTTGGCAGTTATAGCACTTGAAAATTTTCCATTATGACATCCTTCTAATTACTTATTATTTGAACCATTTGGGCTAACTGTCTTCACACCAGACATATTTCTCAATGGAGACTTTCAACTAAATGCTTCAGCTATTCATCAGAACTAGAATATGAAAAATTATGTTTCACTTTCTTGTTTAAAAGAAATTCTTACAAGCATCTACCTGACCTGCATTGTGCAGAATAAAAATTTCGGAGTATGGGGGGATTGGCAGCTCTCTTGTAGAAATAAACCTATTACTTTGATTTTTTTAAAAAAAGCTATTCAAATGCTCAACCAATTTTCTTATATACTCCACCACTTGCTAGTAAATCTGTTGAACATACCATTTCCCAAAATAGTATTAGTGCTCAAATGTTATATGTCACTACACACTGCTTTCTCTTGTGAGTCCACTCCCAACTTTTACAGTCATTAGTACAAAGCAACAAACAGAAGATTTTTAAATTATACTGGTTCAGCAATGCCAACAACTCTAGCACTATTCTTCAATTATCTAAGACTTAATCAGTTCATCTTAATCAAATTTAATCTACGAAATTCTCACTGTCATATAAGCAATCTCTGAATGTCACTTAGTGCTATACTGTTAACTGCTTCCCAACAATGTGTGTTCTTGTTATACTAAACTGAATTCCTTAAAAAATCATATAATTATTTCACTCTTGGCAATAGGTCATTTTCCAAGCATGGAAGGGAACCTCCATCATTTCTTGACATGTAGAATTCTGCCAGCAAACCTCATCTTTATAATTAAGTGTTTACTGGCACTCTTTTTACATGATGCATGTGCTGCTTCTCAATTAACTACACTTTCTCAATTTTTTCAAAAAGTGGCATAGTTCTACATTGTTACACATGTAATTCTTTATTAATTTTTACATTTCAATTTCTATAATTTTCTTGAATACTTATGCATTTTCCTGTAGGCACATTCGGTGGCAGGTTTTTCTGACACAGGGCAACGGGGAGACCTGAAAATATTAGAAAAAAAATCCTTATTTAAAAAAAAACAACAAAGAAAAGGATAACTTTCAATGAAAACTGTTTGAAACATAAGTTGCTAAATGCAAATACAACCCAGGAAACAAAAATGGTCAAAGATAATTTGTATTTTCATACAAAGATTATCCATGTGAGTTTGTACCTAGAACTCATTTACAGATAGAAACATACACATAAGGACACAATGCATGTTGTAGAAGGGTTGCCTTTTACACTGATGTCCAGATTTTCTGAAACAGAAATCTGTACCATCTTCATGGTATACAAAGTATTTAGTACAATGATGATGAGAACTCATTTATCCTAATGGCTAAATTGTCTGTATTGATTAAGGGAACCCATTATTGAAATGTTCAGGGATCTACATGCAGTCCTTCCAGAATTTAGATAATCAGGTGTAGTCGTGTGTAATAACCAGCAAACATCATATAACCTTTTCCATAATCTCATCAATCTCCATATTAAAATTTACTGAAATGCTCTGCCCTGTTGCTTTCATTAAGAGAAGAAATCCATTCATCCATTGGATAGAAACCTTTCATGGAAAGTTCATTTCTAATTTATGTCTAATCATTCTACATTGAGAGTGTTCTTTGTCTTAAATATTCTTCTCCTTTCTTAACTCCAAAGTTCTAGATCTTATTTGATATGCTGTTCTCCTTCAAACTTAAAGTTATTAGCAACTTCTATTTATAAGCTAACCAGGACTGCACTAAAGACATTAAATGGGCAGATTCCGCCGGCAGCCAGCTTCCAATTTTATAGTCCTTCTCTTAAAACAATCCATCAGAACTTCTCATCAGCAATTCTTTATGTTATGCATCTTCCTTCTTTTCTCATATGACACTACACTGAATCTTTTTATGGTGGTGCTTGGATGACAGTTGGACTAGCTGATCTTGAAGATCTCTTTCAGCCTTGATGATTTTGTGAAATTGACTTTTGTCAATTAATTATTTTATTAAAAATTACTGTTACCCCAACAGAATCTAATGCTACTACACCAAAAATACATCTCTTATTTTTTTATTTCTATGTCTTGGCATACCCTATATTATAATTTGTTTCCTATGTCCCATACAATGCCGATGGGCTCTCCTTCAAGCACATTGGTGACTTTCCAATCACGTGGCACTGTTCTTGCCCTGACAGGTTTATTAAGAGTCTTTGCTAAAAGACGTTTTTGATACTTCTAATATTTTCATAATTGAGAGCTGGTTTCATTTTCCCATCAGGTACCTAGTGACAAGACACTGAGGGTAATGCCACTGACTACACTTCAGAGCCTACTGCCTAGCCTGTAGCCAGTAACTGAGAATTGAAACAGACAAACAAACAAATACACATCATTAATTGGGATCTTAAGCGTTCTTTCCAAAACACTGCTACCCCTACGAATTATTTCAGCAGCCTAAGAGCCACTCTGAGGCAGTTTGGTATGCACAGGGTGCTCAATCCCTTGCTGTCCACATACAGTCTTTAGATTTTTATCTGATAACATCCAGAGAGTAATTGTCTTTCAGCTGGTCTGATGGCATGTGTGGTATTGCTTAAAATTCTGCCTTTAGTGGGCTCAACTACCAGGAGCATAAGCAAGGCTTGTCAGAACCCTCATGCGAGGACTTCTTGCCCTGGGTGTGTATGGAGCCTTAGAGTCTAACAAGACTATGGACTGTCACGCATGACAAAGCAAGGACACATTTGGCAGGCCAGAACTATACAGCATAGCACCATGTATTTATTTCAGTGTGAAGATTTAGATCTTCTCCATTCACTCAGTCAGTGGGGCCACACTGGGAAATAACCTTCCTGTGTAATGCAGGCAGTCTGACTGTCTAGGTTGGGATACCAGCTGGATGGACCACATGTAACTCTTTATCCATGTGTCTAGGTTTTCTCCCTGCAGAAACCGTGTTTCTGTCACCTGCAAAAACAGCACCTGAGAATATGAGCCACACTCAGCTCTCATTTTGAAATCACAGCTTAGATAAAACCCCTGACTGAGAGAGCACTCCAAGATTCCAGATCACAGACCTCATAAATACTGAACATCCTTGAAATCAATAGGAACTCAAACATGGCTGACTGAGTGGGTTTTGAACTTAACATGTACTGCTGGAAATTTTACCTTTGTGTCATAGCCTAAACTCTTATCACCAAATTTTGTTGCACTCTGCTACTATAAATAGTAGCAAAATGTGGGTTTTTCCTTGGCCTCCATCATGTATAGTCACTAGATGATTCTATTTCTGCTTATATTTGCATTTATAATTTCTTGTGAACTGCAGATATCATTTTGTGACCAGTTTTTTAAAGTAGCTACACAGTAAGCATTAAACAAAAAAAAAACCTGATATGTCTTTTGTTTAAAAAAACAGGGCAAACCTTTATTGATTTTACTCTTTGGAGAGATTCTGACTTAAAAGATAGTCATCAGTTATGCTGATAAGTAATATTATTAATACTCAAATTTTGATTGTACAGCTGTTTAGCTGTGCATGATTAGGACCAGTTATATATTCAAGAGTGATTATTTTCATGCAAATACTTGGCTGGCTAATGGGGAGAACAGCTGCTGCTTAGCAACTGGAGGAACAGAGAAAGGGGGTGACTTGCTTTATAACAGAAAACGGCATGAAACCTTAAGAGAGAGAACACAGTGTTTGGAGAGAAAATGAGCGGTAGTGCTGTCTGACCAGGATATTTCCTTTTACAATTACTGACACCCTAGGACAGCAGCATTTTAAGGTAATGAAGTGTAAACTACAAGAAAATTTATATATCATACATGCATACACACATGTGAGTGAACAACACCTAAAACAACTCCTAAAAGCAAATACTGACACACAAATTGAAATGTAGGAAATCCAGAAACAGGCTTTGTGTCTGTCATCTATTGAAAGGGTTAAGCCAATTTTCAGACTTCAGCAACTTAAAACTACCACAAGCCAAGCTTTCTGGAAGAAGTGCTCTCTTTATTCTTGCTGCTCAATCTCAGTCCCTGCACTGCCTCCTCCTCTGTGCAAGCACAGCCCTTCACACCCCTACATAATGAAGCACATCAAGGACCCGATGGAGGTTAAAACTAACCCATATTTTTTAGTGGGACTGCTTTTACCTGGCTCAGTTTGCAAGCCAAGTTTCTTGTGCAGCTATTCAAATCAGGAGTAGGGCAGGGGAGCTCCTGTGACAGTGCTGACTCAGTCTTACCTTGATGCAACCCTGCAGACAAACCTACTGACTTCACTGCAAGACAAAACAGAAAGCAGAAGTGAGCTGCAGGAAACTACTGGAAACTGAAAAGGCACCACTCAGAAAGCATGCAAGTTCCACAAAAGTGTCTGCACAGGTTTAATGTACATGTGGATTACACTATTTACATTACAAAGGAAAGTCACTTTCTTTTTTTTCCCCAAGAGTAACATTCAACATTTTCAGAAATCAAATTAATAACTCATATGAACAAGAAACTGGCTCTAGGTTAGGTATCAACTGCTCTTTCTGATTTCAAAGCATGGTTCTCCCTGATTTAATAAACAACATAACAAATGTTGTCATTTTAAATGGAATACTCTGCATGACATGCTTTAGCAAATCCTGCTTTATGCTTCTAAGAAGTTAGTTATTTCAGCTTTCTACACTATTCTACTGTGGGCAACTGGTTTCTCTTCAGCAGGACTCCCAGGTATGAACTTGTGCTCCATCTCACACACCACCTCATTTGGGAGAAACTAGAATCCACCAGTGGCTCAAATGTCTTGGTTTATTCACCAATGAAGCTGAGGGGCAGATCCACCACCATGTTCTCCTGCCTGAGCAGATGACAACAGAATACAGCAGGACTGGTACAGGAGGAGAACTGCTGACCTACCCTGAGCTCTTGCAGGCACCAGACCACATCTGCCAGGGTTCAAAGGCATTAAACTGTCAGTGAAATACACAGTGGGGGGAAGACACAATGCTCAGCAAGTTAAGAAGACCATGTGAACAGAAACAAAACAGAGCATGGACTGGAGTAACACAAGCACTGTTACCGTCCCTACCAAAGTTCTATGGAAAATTGAGGAAATGGAGTAGTGAGGGAGCAGTAGAAAATGTATTCAAATAACAATAGTTAGAGATGCTGTTTGTTAACAAGCCCCACCAGCAAGCTCCTAGTGATTTATTAGCCTTTGTGAAATCTAAGCATTCATAAGAGTATTTTTGCAGTTCCAAAGGTTTTCCAAATATTAGCTTTGCAAATGTAAACAACTGTCAAAAATTAAAGTTGTAGCTCAGTTATTCTTTAAATACAGTGAAAATAGTTTGGATTTCAACCCTATTTCAACCACTTCTGTGACACAAGATTTCTTGATGACTAGGTAGTTGGATTTTCTTTTTCTGTTCACATAAAAATGAGTTTAAGGAGGAAAACAGATGTGAGCTAGAGAAAATAAACAGCTTACAAAGAAAGAGTAGGAAACCAGTTACCCCTGAGTAGACAGGCAAGCTTCCTGTTCATTACAATGAAAATATGAAGGGTAGCAACTGCCTGACCTGTCTTTTGTTCAAATCTAAACCCGAAACACATGTAACCGAAATGCGAAACATGTGTTCTACATATTGGACGTTTGTCAGGTTTTATAGATTTGTGCACGTCTCGTATCATCCAGTGCCGCACGCACATGTAACAGCATCACTCTGAGTGTATGTGAGAGCATTTGGCCTTTTAACCGGCTCATCGCCCACACCGCCAGCTCTGGATATTTGCTATGGTTTGGGGTTTTTACCCGCGGACCCGCAGCTCTCAGACAAAGAGACTGCAACAGGAATCTTAAACCTAAAATCGACGGTTTTTCAGCTCCTCAACCTAAAGTCAAGCCTGTTTTATGGCTTTCAACAAAAGCCTGCACGAGAGCGCTGCAAACCGCACAGTAAGCTCTCCTGCAGGGCGGAGGAGGCGGGGGAGCAGGGGCAGCGGGGCCGGGGGGACGCGGCCGCCTCAGGGCCGAGCCGCCCGCAGGGGCGCGGGGCGGCGACCCCGCCCCCGCCGCTCCGCCGCAGCGCGCCCGGCCCGGCCCCGCCCGCTCCGCCCCCTCCGCGCGCCCGGCCCCGCCGCCAATCGCCGCCGTCCCTCCGCAGCCGCGGCCCCGCCCCGCTCCGCTCCCGCGCCGCGCGCGCTCACCGTCACGGCTCGAGAGCGCGCGGGCGCCGGCGGGAGCGCGGCCGCTCCACCCCTTCCTCCCGGTCCCGTCCCCCTCCTCGCCCTTATCTTCTTAGGGTTTGGGGTTTTCTTTGGCCGGCCCCTGCGGCGTGGGGAGACTCACCTCCCTGCCATTCAAAATGGCGGTCGACCCAGCTTAACCCCGTCGTGTCCCCGCAGCGCTGCCTCTCCCGCCCCATCCGCGGCTCGGGATTCCGCAGCCTCACCCTCAGCCCGCGAGGCCGATCGCCGAATCACCGAGGCCGTCCCTCTGTCCCTCCCTGCCTCCTCCGCCGCCACCAGGGGAGGCGAGAGAAAGATTTCTCCCCCGCTCCCACGCGCGCTCGCGCCCCGCCTGCCGAGCCCAACCGAAGGGTGGGGGAGAGAGACCGTGTGTGTGCCGGGGAGTGACGGACACCTCCTCCGCTCGTTGAGCCCCTTTCCGCCCCAACACATGGCCCATCCACCCCCCTGCCCGTTCCCCCAGTGGTTGCATCCGTGACGACATCATCATGGCAACAGCAGCTGCAGCCCGGGGCTGGGGCGCCGCCGTCGCCGCCGGGGTGTCCGCGGGGCACGAGCCCGCGCTGTCCCTGAGGGGCGCGCGGCCGCACGGGCTGTAGGAGCGCGCGGGGGGCGCGCCGCCGCGCACGCGCCCAGAGCGGCGGCATCAGGCGGGGAAGGGGGGGGGGGGGGGGCGGAGACACAGACAAGGCGCGTGCGGGACTGCGCGCGCTCCCGCGGGCGGGCGGGCAGGACCGGCAGGCGCGGGGAGTGTTGCGCTCGCGCGCGCGCTCGCTGCGGCGGCGGGCGGGGGGAGCCGTGCGGGCTCCGCGCTCGCTCCGCGCTCGCTCGGTGCTGTGCTGGTGCCTCGGCGGCGGCGGCGAACAAACATGTTCTCAGTGCGGATCGTGACTGCCGACTACTACATGGGCAGCCCGCTGCCCGGCCTGGACCCCTGCCAGTCCCGCTTCCGAGAGGCCCCGGCCAAACGGGTGCCCGTCGTGAGAGTCTTCGGCGCCACCCCTGCAGGTAAGGGACGACCCTCGCCGCCGCCACCGACGGGCGGGCGGGGACGTCCCCCCGCTGCGGCGCCGCGGGTCGCGCTGGCGCCGGCCCTGCCGCCGCCCACCCCGCTCCCGCTCTTTGTGGCTGGGTCGCGCCCCCCCCTCCGCGCCCGGCGCCGCCGCTGCGGCGCGTCTCACCTGCCAGCGGGGACGGCAGGGCAGCGGCCAGCAGCGGGGACCTGCCCCGAGTGCCGCGCCGCGCCCGCCCGGCGGCGGTGGGGGCTGCGGGGCCGCCGGGGCTTTGTGCGGGGCTGCCCCGGGAGAGCGGCGCAGCTGTGCAAACACCGGGGCCGGCCCGTGCCGCCCTCGCTGCCCGTGCCCACCGCCGCTCTCCTGCCCTTGCCGGGAGCTGTCGCTGCGGGCGGGCGAGCGGACGGGGGGAAGGCACGGGCACAAGCGGGACTTGTGCGGCACTTGGGACGTGGGGGCTCGTGTGGCGGCACGGAGCGCGCCCGGCCCGAGGCACCGGTGCTGCACTGCAGAGAGCGGCGTCCTGAGCGCCGGCCACATGTTGCCCCCCGAGACTCCCGAATGTCACATGCCACTTCTCCGCTGCCTCTTCGCCCTGTGGCCTTGTGCCCAAAGCCGTCCCACGGCTCAGACGTGTTTCTGACCGATACAAACAAATACGTTGTCAGAGCAAATTTCGAACAAATTAAATACTTTGGAAAATTCATTTAATATGTGTTGTAGTTTGCCCATACGTTAAATATAAAATTGGAAAAACCCCTCGCTTTTGAGATATTAGGTGTAGTAAGTAAGCATCATTGGTTGGGATCTCTTTACACTTATGCTGTGTACTGCTGACCTTGGGAATTAAGGTATTTCTGCATATTTTATTGACTGACATGTTGAAAATTATCTATTCATGCACATACATACATTAAATCTTAGGCAAGACAAAAAACATGTAATAAAAGAGCACAGCAGAGGTGTTTTTCCCTTCAGGCAGTTATTATAGTAGAGCAGCTATTTTGTTGTCTTTTTTGTCGGCTTGTTTTTTGTTTGGTTTTGTTTTTTTTTTTTTTAATCCAGAGTTAACTGTCTTCTCTGTTTAAGCACAAAGGAACGTGACATATTCAAGCTGTTGTGTTCTGATGCAACTACAGCTCCAAATTATTAAGTGACTGAGTGGGATTAATAGATAAAATATTGAAATAGTGGGACCTATTTTATTGTAGCTCTAATTCTGCATACAAAGGAGATATTATGTAATAATATTTATGTAATGGCAGGAGTAACTATTTCATGATTAAAAAATGTAGAGCCTGAGGTTGTTGGCAGGTAGCAGGATTTTTGTGCATGCGTGTGGTTAACTCATTAAGGCTTATTTTCTTTTAAGAAAATGTTTAGGCTATGCCATATCATGAATGTGGCATCATAAAGTAAACAGTGAAGTAGTTTAGTTGTCCAGCTATTAGGAATATGGTAGGAAATCCCTGGCTTCCCCAACCATAAACTTTAATGTCAGTTTGCATAATAGAAGTGTTTCTAATTTGACTTCGTTAGAGAAAACAATTCACTAGAGTCTGCAAAAGCAGTGTTACTTGTCTGTCCCATTTATTTCCTTTTTGAACTTTTAATTTTTTTTAATGTTTTGTACCTTTAGTAATGTTTGCTATTAAGCTTCATGAGCTTCTTACTGCATCTCTGCATTGCTTTTTGGGTTTTTTTTTCCTTTTTAGGAAAGCAGAAAAATGTATTTCTCTCTCTTCAAAGGTGTTGGACCTAAGCACTCATTGTCAGAATTACTCTGACAGTGATTCTCAGGCTATTTCTTGAGAGCTGAAATTTAAAACAAAGTGTAATCACTTGCATCTACAATCTCATTTTCTTTGAGGAAAAAGAAATAGTGAAAACAACTTCTAGCATACTGTCTGAGACAATGGGATGTCCTTATTGTTTGGCTTACAGGGAATGTGATGCTTTTCTTCCCTGGAGTTGGTCTGGGTGGGAATAACCCTTTCTCACTGGGTTTAATGTGTGTGCCTTGCCTCCAGGAAAGGTGCTCTGCTGCCTTGTTGCCTCCATGGCAGCAGCCTATTATGGCTGTAGGGGCTGCTCCACCTCCAGCATGATTAACTTTGCACAACTCTTGGTGTGTTTATAGCTGTGTGCCCAAGCTGTGCAGGTAATTGGAAGTCAGGGTCAGAACAGACTCCAAATGTCACCTGCTGAGCGAAGGGGGTTTGATTGGTCTGTGGCAGTGGCTTGTGCAGATGTTCAGAAAGTCAAACATCTGGCACTGCTGTATCCCTGTGTCAACCAGCAGCTGAGGACAGTGGTCCTGAAGGCACCCACCTGTGCTCTCTGCCCCATCTTGTGGAGGTGTGTGAATGACAGGGATTGCCAGTGTTACCTTTGAAGGCTTTTATGTCAGCCAGTACTCAACAATTAATTTGTAGAGGTTTACTGGTACAATCTATAAAATGAAAGTGGCTTGTGGTTGGGGGAGGAAAAAGCCAGACTTTTAATTAAAAGTAATGAAAGGATCAGCTTCTAGAATGGACTGTGCTGGCAATATCATTTGACAACTTCTTTATGTCTTTTGAGGAAGAAATCTTCTTTTATTTGGTAAGGTTGTACAAATTCTGTCTTGATGTCCTACATCTTTGCATAATAAGAGCTTGAAAGATGAGGAATCAAAATTTTGTTTCAGCCCAAAGATCTGCCTGCTACATTCTGTTATTTTGTGAAATAAAGAGTAAAGTTCTGATTACAGTAGCAAATGGTGAAGTGAGGTGGTTGAGCCATTTCATTCAATTTTAACTGTTTAAGCAGACTGGCATGTCTGTTGACATAGTGACGTGGACAAAAGTATAATTTCAGAAATGCTGCAACACTGCCATGGTGGTAATACAATGAAAGCAGTGTTGAATTCATGCTTTATTGTACAAGGGCATAGATATTATCTGATACACCAGCATTTGTATCTCTAAGGGAGTCTCATAATATTGCTGCTTTTACATAAAAACAATAGGTTTTAATTCATTAGGTAATGCTCAAGTATGAAACAAAGTCACATTCTATTTTCAGGCAGTATGGTCTGCTAACTAGTACTTTTGTAAATGCTCTTTGTAAAAATAGGAAAAGGCTGAAAATTTGCAAGACCTGTTGTTTAGAGTGAAATCTTAATGAAAATTTATTTTTCTGTTAGTGTATTGCTGTTAGTTGTATTGTCAATTCTTGAATTGTCGTTCCTATTGCTAATCTGAATCCTAAGATTTTTGCAACCATGTAAGTACCTGAATTTATAGCTTCAAAAGAGATATATTTAAGGTAAGACATATATGTAATCATAAAAGTCATGTATGTTTATAGTTTTGTTTGGGAAGAGGTTATTCCATAGATCTTAGTTGTTGAATATGGAATATGCTGAGTTGGAAGGGACCCATCAGGATCCAACTCCAGGCTCTGTGCAAGACATTCCAAGAGTCACACCATGTGCCTGAGAGTGTTGTCCAAATTCTCCTTGGACTCTGTCAGGCTTGGTGCTGTGACCACTTCCTTGGGGAGCCTGTTCCTGTGCAAGGAAAAATCTTTTTCCCCATATCAAACCTAAATCTTCCTCAATGCAGCTTCACGCCGTTTCCTCGAGTCCTGTCAGGAGAGTGAAGAGATCTGTGCCTGCATCTCCTTCATGAGGAAGTTGTAGGACTGCAGTGAGGTCTCCTCCAGGCTGAGCAGACAAAGCAGACCTCAGCTGCTCCCCATGAGGCTTCCCATCAGGACCCTTCACCATCCCTGTGGCCTTCCTTTGGATGCTCTCTAATAGCTTAGTGACTCTTGTTCAAGTTGCAGTTGTTCCAAACCCCCAGGTCCCTTCCTGCAGTGCTTGTCTCTAGATCAGGGAACAAGATATTCCAGCATCTTGTTCCCTGATCTAGAGACAAACCCAGGCTTGCACCATCCTGGTGCAGAGTCCAGCACTTGACCTTGTTAAACCTCATGTGATTGATGGTTGCCCATCTCACTGATTTATTTAGGTCTTTCTGCAGGGCCTGTGTGCCCTTGAGAGAGTCAGCAACTCCTCCCAATTGAGTGCTGCCACAAAGTTACTTAGTATTCCTTCAAATCCTTTATCCAAGTTTTTAATGAAGATGTAAAGAGATCTGGGCTGAGTATGGAGCCCTACAGAATCCCACTAGTGACTGGATGCCATGTCTGTATTATTTTTATTCCTCTGAAAGTGTATGTGGAATTTCATTCCATTTGCAAATCAAGCACTGTAAGTCACCCTATGCCTCATTCCAAATTTATATTAAATTTAGGTGATCTCAGAAGAAGATTGCTATCTCATGTTGCTTCCATTTAGCTGGTACTGTGAAGATTAGTTTACTATGAGGTCTCTTGTCGTGTGTGGGGGTATTAAAGCTTTGTTTTGTTTCCTGCTAGCTC